AGCGGGGGGATGGGGAGGATGCGGGGTGGGGCGGGAAGCCAGGGGGTGAGGGGAAGCAGGGGAGGGAACTCAGGGGGAAACAATAAGAAAACAGAAAGAAAACTCAAAACTGGAAAAATCCTTGGAAGAAAGTTAACGAGTAACAGAATCAGAAACAAGAACAGAAATACATATATTACAAAAAGGAAGCATGGCCCAGGTGCGGTGGGCTCATGCTGTATTATCCCAGTCTGTTGCGGAGGCCGAGGACAGGTGGATCACCTGAGGTCAGGAGTTCACAAACCAGGCCTGACCAACATGGCGAACCCGATTCTACTAAAAAAACAGAAAAAATTAGCCAGGCGTGTGATGATGCCCGTAAATCCAGGCTCGTTGGCAGGGCGACAGGAGGCTGAGGCAGGGGGAACTGCTTGAATCGGGGAGGGTGAGGATTGCAATGAGCCCAAGATCCACACCATTACACTCCAGCTGGCGACAGAGTAAGACTCATCTCAAAAAAAAAAGAAAAAAAGCAACAATGAACAAGACAGTAAAATGTAAAATATCAATAGAAAGGGATAGAAAATATTAGTGTAATAAAGTTGAAAGTGGATCTCATGAAAAAGAGATGAGATGGTGTTACTGGAGCCAGGAAGGGTGGAGGAAAATAAAGACATGCTACAGATGGTAGAAATGTACCAGGTAGGTGGAAGAAACGTGGGATCCAGTGTTTCTATAGAGCAGTAGGGTGACTGTAGTTAAACAACTAATCTATTGTTACATTTCAAAATCACGTAGAAAGAAATGATTCGAATGATTGCCTGGCATAAAGAAAAGATAAATATTTAAGATGTGATGGATATCCCAATTACCCTGATTTGATACCTTACACATTTATTTGAATGTATCAAAATATTACAGTTACCCACCAAAAAAATTACACTATATATACATCAGTTGTTTTAAAAGTTAATGAAATTGTACCAGAGAGTAGAATAAAAAGAGACATGAAATACAGGGAGAAAAAAAGATAACAGCTATAATTTCCTGGGTCCAACATCTACTAGTAAAGCCAGAGAAAAGGGATGAGCGATAAGGGTTGAGTTAGGGAGTGGTAGGCAAACAGGGAATTCTACTAGAAAAGAAAAATGCTCTCTATACATTAAAAGAAAACGAACAAAAAGACTTATATAATAGCAATACTTGGAGTTAGGAATGATAGTGAGGGATCTAGCCAGGCACGGATGGCAATATGTCTGTAATCCCAGCTACTTGGAGGCTGAGGCACCGATAACTTGCTTTGAACAGGAGGGTGGAAGTTGCACAGGTGAGCACAGCTCATGGCCAGCTGCTCTCCAGCGCTGAGTGACAGAGTGAGACTTTGTCGCAAAAAAAAATTCATTAAATAGGAAAAAAAGAAGGCAAGATAGTGAGGGAATGCCTTAAAAATCTAAGGAAAAAGTATTTCCAGCCCTGTAGTTGCATTCCCTACGCCTAAACTATCAGTCAATTATGAACAAAAGAATTTGAGATTTAGACAGATAGGTGTCCCAAAGTTTACGCTTCCATAGTCACTTTCTCTGGGATGCACTTAAATCGATGCAGTTGACCAAAGTGAGGGAGTAAAACAAGGAATACAGGAAGATCTAAGATCCAGGCAGGTTAGAAGCTGCAACCAGAGAGCAAAACGACGCGGTGGTATTGACACAGGGATTTTGTAGGACTAGTTCCAAGACCACAGGTCACAACGACCGCCATAATAAAAACCAAGAATAGCAGCAGGCCACGTGTGAGGTGGCTCACGCCTGTAATCTCAGCACTCTTTGGGAGGTCCACAGGTCAGGAAGATCACTGAGATCTTCTTCCTGGGACCAGCCCTGGCACCAACTGCACACATCCATCTCGACTCAAAACATGCAAAATTAGCCAGGCACTGGTCGGCGCGGCGCTTGTAATCAGCTACTTCGGGAGGCTGAGGCAGCGAGACATCGCTTGACC